CCATATTTTCAAAAAAAATATTCTTTAAGTAGACCCATCTATTTATTTAGAGCGTGGGTTTCACAGTAAATATATGTCTGACACATTTTTGTTTTCATACTACAGCACTCAATTTCTGTATTTCTGCAAGAAAATTACAGGTACATTGTGTCATTTTAAAAATTAACCTTTGAAGGTACCAAGGTATATACATGACTGTATATATCACAGTCAGGGTGTGTTGTAGATCCCTTTGTTAATAAGAAAATAAATGTTAGTAATGGATTAATGCATAATGTACAGAGGCCAGCTTATTCATAAGTACTTAGTGCTTGTAACTCTAGTTTCTGGAAATTACCATGCAATGAGTCAGACCATTTGTTACTCTTTCCCAGCCTCTTGGGTCAGCTACTAGTCCATTATAAGGATACTTGGGTGTCTAAAAAAAAGTTCTACATGGCTGCCATGTGAGAATCTGTTATATCAGAGATTTTGCTGTTTTTTTCCTCTTAAACTGTTCAGTAGAGTTGACATTTATCAACTCATAGGTCAACTGGGCCTTGCTGCAGACAACTGAAACTTCATCTCTTGAAAGCAAAAAAGTAATTGTGAAACAGAAAGTGTCTTTTTTCCTTGACAAGTAAAACAGATTTCCTCTAGNTTTATGGACCACTCCTTGAGGAAACTTTGCAAGTTAATTACAAGCCATTGGTAAGCTATCTTTGAAAAACTACTATTAAGAGCTACATGTATTCAGCATTTTATGATCCCATGGAAAGAGAAGGAGAGGAGGGAAAGACCGAAGGTGATGAATTTGTTTAAAACTGAGATGAACTATGCACTAATTAGTTGTCTTAGTTTCTAGGGATTGAGGAGGCATATAGCCCATGGGAGCTGGCTAATTTCAGTTTCTATTGCATGAAATGAAAAACTATTGCAGCTACAGTACTCCTAACCCCCTTGTACAGGATGTTAGTCTTCCATAGATCCCCCATCCTACTCACAGCTTTATACATGTCATGGCTAACAGTTTGTTGGTGCTGATTTATACTTCAGGATTTAAAGAGATATTTTAAGGGTGACGTTTCTTACTGAAGAATGCAGAACAATGACCCTGTTCAAG